TTGGGCATTTTTAAGCAAATTTTTTCTTCAGTAAAAAATTTCATACCTGATGCATCTCTTTATTATCCGCAGCAGTCATATCCTCAAGAAAAACAATATCATAATTCTTATCAAACACTCCTATAAAATTATTATTAGTATCATTTTTCATTTCATCATTTGGGGTGAGTCAATTGAAATGCACCAAATTTTTTCTAAATAAATTTTTTTAAAACTTTGAACAATAAATAATTTTTTTAAATCAATTCTATATTCTTGTAGAATTCATTTGTATTAAATTTGATTAAGTTTTTATTGAGTTATCTTTGATAAATGTTCAAAAAAATTTCCCTAAAAAAGATTGGTGCGTTTCGACTGACTCACTTCATATATTAACGTAAGTTCTCACTTCTAGTAGTTATCTCACAGTATAAGTTTGTTTTAACACCAAAAATGATGAGTGTTTTTATACCGAGGGAGGTGAGAAAGGAATTAAGTTCGGTCTTGTAGAAAGCATCATAGCGAGTTTTACTTTGGATGACAAAGCCAATGGTACCAATTGAAGTTGATGATCGCTAAATTAATATTAACATTAATGAATATTATAAATGAATTTTCATGTCTCAATTCAATAATCAAACCTACCGCGATAATTAAATCCAATTCTTTCAAAAATTTATACTTTTCAGTTCCTTGCTTTATCATTTTATCTTTATCTTTCCACTTAGAAATATATTTGTCATTATTTTCATTTATATATTTTTTATATATAAAAATGATTAATTAAATACCCATCGTGCCAAGGCACCTCCATCGAGTTCAACATTCATGCGACCATACTGTGTCCATAAAACTAGAATTTCTTTCTCATGACAAGTTAGGACAGTAGACTTTACGTTTGGAATAATTTTATCGACTACGTCACTACGAAAAAATTCCTATTAAGAATTATTTGAAGTTTGCAATGTTTAAATATATACTTGTTATTTAATTAATATTGGTGAATACGGTGTATTCTACAGAATAATACACAGGTTGAAAGATAAAAAATCAGGCACAAATCAGGTATCCGATTTTAAACTGATTACTGCCTGATTACCACCTGATTTATGCA